GACAACTTTACCTCCTTCATTTCTTTCGTCTATATATCAATATGGCAACCCATTTATAGTTTTACTGTTTAACTGTGATCCACCAGTGTTGTAGAATCTTTTGGTGTTGCTAGTGTTACATGGAAAAAAAAACCCCTACACACGCACACAGACACGCACACATCTATTTCATGTGTAAATGTGGTATCAATTTGATGTATACATATCCATTTCATATCACACAGGTGTTTGAAATTGTATTTGTAGAAGAAATATTGATATAAATATAAATATAAATATAAATGTATTCTGAACCAGGAACAATACTTATGGCTTTTCTCTGTGTAAAATTATAGTACTGCATAAAGATGTTACTAAAATAAAAGCACCTCTACGCTTTTCAGATTCTGGACATCATTCTTATAATCCAGAACTTTCAAGTGAAAAGTGTATGACTTATAAACTAATAAAATGGAATTATCTCTTTCCTGTTTTTACATTTATCAACTTATAAGACTGGTACACCAGCTTGCTTTTTGTAAACACAACCAACCAAGAATATACATATGTATATATATGTGTAAATATATATATATATGTGTGTGTGTGTGTGTGTGTGTGTGTGTGTGTGTGTGTGTGTGTGTGTGTGTGTGTGTGTGTGTGTGTGTGTGTGTGTGTGTGTGTGTGTGTGTAAGTGTAATATATGTTAATATATGCATATGCATATACATATACAAATACACACACCTGGCATGTGGGAGCACCTAATGCCAAGTCTGTCTTAACCTCCCACCTACTGAAGGATTCTTTGTTTTCCTGGGTGGGGTTCCCTGCATTAGAAAATACAGTAACTGATTTGGTGCCGTGATTAAAGCAGTGTTTGAGAATTCCATACTGCGCACGTGAAACTGGAACTCCCAGAAAAATAGACAACAGACATCACATTATGATAATGTAAATGTAGTCACAGCCTCTATAATAACACCTTAACATTTTCGCTACAAACTTTTATCGCCCAACTCACGACTTATATTGCTTTCTATTTACAAGCAAAATCATCCAAATAAAATATCATGGTTACCTGCTTTGCCATCTTTTCTCTAGAGTACAATAGATACCACAGAAATATCTTCAGAAATAAACAGAAGAGAATAATGGAAATATCAAGAAATAATTGCATGTAGTGACTCATTCCAGGATAAATCTACCGCCTGGCCGTGAAAATTGACAAGTTAAGGGAAAATTACGAACAAAAAATCTTCAGCTCCATCACCATAATACCACTAAATATCCAGAAATGTGACTTCAAGAGACCGATTCATTCAACAAATCTCCTGAAAATGAACACACAGATCACACCAGACCTCACAGAACACATAAATAACTTCAACACCAAAATCGATACTCACGACGACTCCAGCACGACATACGGAGGCTGCCATGACTTATCCGGAATAGACATGATGCACAGAAGTCTCAAGGAAGGACGCAAAGACACAGCAACGTTTCCCCGACACGAACAAACTCCCCGCTGGTTTGTTTGGGTTCTTGAGGGCCACGTCGCATAGGAGGGAGGGGAAGTGTTGTACGTTGTTGTGCGGATGTCTGTCTGTCTGTCTGTCTCTGTCTGTCTGTCTGTCTGTCTGTCTGTCTCTGTCTGTCTGTCTGTCTCTGTCTGTCTCTGTCTGTCTGTCTGTCTCTGTCTGTCTGTCTGTCTGTCTGTCTGTCTGTCTGTCTCTGTCTGTCTGTCTGTCTGTCTGTCTGTCTGTCTGTCTCTCTCTCTCTCTCTCTCTCTCTCTCTCTCTCTCTCTCTCTATATATATATATATATATATATATATATATATATATATATATATATATATATATATATATATATTTTTTTTTTTTTTTTTTTTTTTTTTTTTTTTTTTTTTTTTTTTTTTTTTTTTTTTTTTTTTTAATGTACCAGTGTTTTGTATGTAGAATGTGAGCCGACATAAGAACTTATTATAACGTTATGGGGATAACGTACGTTACCTCATTCTTTTGAGATGTAAGCTTTTGTTTCAATAAATTTGTCAAATATTTTTTTTTTCCTCTCTCTCTCTCTCTCTCACTCTCTCTCTCTCTCTCTCTCTCTCTCTCTCTCTCTCTCTCTCTCTCTCTCTCTCTCTCTCTCTCTCTCTCTCTCTCTCTCTCTCTCTCATGATTTGTTTGTTTTCTTTTTTTTTTAAGTAAGTAATATTTTCTTCTGTGAAATTTTTGTCTTTTCTTTTTTCTCTGTCTGTCTGTCTGTACGTGTTGTCTTTGTCTCTGTTTCTACCTCTTTTTCTCTCTTTGTGTGTGCAAATGCTGTCTTCTCATATTTAAAGTTCTGTTTCCTCATGCACTATAATTTTCACCTGATACC